ACTTCCCACGGGTGAGGGAGCTCCGAACATTGATATGGGAGAAAAATCTCAACAGCTGAGCAGGGAGAAAACAGGCCAGAGCTCCGAGCTGAGAGGCCCGGAGAGGCCCCGCCAGCGGCCCAGAGGCACGCGAGAGACGCCGTCCTGGCTCTTCATCGGAGACGGGAAGGCCCAAGGAGCTCGGGGGCACCGCGTCTTACCTCCCAGGCTGGGAACCCCCCAAGGACGCCCCGGGCACTCCGGGAAGCCGGCGCTCCGGCCGGCTGCTGGAAGGAGGCAAACTCAAGCCCCGCCGGGCAGAAGGACGGAGCGCTGGCCCTTAGACCTTTACTCCAAAGACACGCGCCATGTGCAGCCTCGGGGTGATTTTACGCAGGCTGTTCACGCGGTGCGGCTGTCAAGAGCAGACCGTTAGAAACGACCCGAATACATGCCGTGGGGTGCCGGTTACACACACCACGCCACTCTGCACAGGGGACGAGCACAAAGCGACGAAAAGGAAGGGCTCCGTGTCCCTAATGTCACCTTCAGGGAGAGTTATGTGAAAACGGCAAGACGCAGAGTGACACACGAGCGGGGCGAGGGCGCTACTTGCCACCTCTCGTTGCTGGTTTATTCTTGTAGCCTGTGAAAATCATCTCCAACAGTGGATTTATTAAAATAAAATCTTGCCGCAGGAGACCCTTTGAGAAACAGTTCACCCACAGGACACCACATGGAGGTGGTTCTCACGGGGCTTCTCCTCGGCGCCACAGGTTTGGGCCACCAAGGAGGGGATGTCCTATCAGCTGGTGAGCAGACAGGCCCCTTGGCCACCAGCAAGAGTTGCCTGGGTCTGGTGACGCATGGCATCAGATGCACCGTCCGGCTGTGCGCTCCTGGGGCCGGGGGGCAGCCCCGTCCAGCGCGTCCGAGGATTCAGCCTCACTCTTCACGGGCCAGCACCCACGTGGCCACTTCCTCCAGATCTTGCTTCTTTCAGTGACAGGTGGCACGTCTTCCTGGGCCACACCTACACAGACGTCTGGGCAAGGGTCCGACCCCAGCCCCCGCCCTCCCAAATCCTCGCCCCAGCCCCCCGACAAACCCCCGGGGGGGGCCGTCCCAGCTGAGGACGGGGAGCCTGGTGCCTCCTGCACAGAGCGGTGCGAGGTCACGGCGGGCGGGTGGTAACATCGGCCTCTCAGTGGAGCCCGTGCCCGTCTTTACCACTTGCAGTCTTCAAACGGAGTTCCGTGAAATGGTGCGACAAAGACGACATCCTGGTGGCGGGGAGGGTGGAGCTCAGGGGGAGAGCGCGTGCCTAGCACACACGAGGTCCTGGGGTCAATCCCCAGCACCTCCATTTATAACTGACTAACAAAGTCTAATCACCTCCCGCATCCCGGCAAATAAAGGGCAACCACCGCCCCCCCACGGGGCTGCCGTCCTCTCCCTTCTCGCAGACGGAGCCTGGCGCCTGCCCGGAGGCCCTGCGATTCCCAAGAACCGGGCTGTTTCTCCTTCCCGGTGGCCTGTGAGAGCTTGGTCGCCCTCAGCGCACGGCTCCATGAACTCTGCACGGGCGTCGGGACTCCAGGCACCAGAGGAGACCTCCGTGGGCAGTGGGGGCGGCAGGCTCCCGCCCCCGCCTCCCTCAAGAAGACCCCCGCGGAAACTAGGCACGCGGGGCTGGGAGTCTGGTGCTCTGGCCTCCGGGACCCCCAGAGAACTGCTGGGTTTTGCTTCCAAACCAAACTTTTAATAAAGATAATTCGTCTACAGGTGCTCGCCATCAGCCGATACATCCAGCTCCTGGAATTCCGGGAGATTTAGTGGCAGGGTGGTGGTTTTATTTGCTCTCTGGTTGGAACCACTTTTCTTGCGTATTTAATATCCTGGAGGAGTACGTCCCGCAGCGAATCCGCAGCCTGAGGGTGCAAATCCGTTCTGAACCCGTCAGGCCACTGTTTCGTCTTCTGGTGACTGGGAGCAGGCGTTTGTGTATTTGCTGCTTCCTGGGTCATTAGGGGAAATTAGGAAGCAGCCGGCCCACAACTGCAGCTGCAGCTGCGAAACAACCCCGGCCTGCGGTGCTTGGACCGGCTTCTACCGCGCTGCAGGCGGGGTGGCTGGGCGAGGGGAAGTCCGTGGCTTCCTGGAGTGTCTTACTGAGGTCAGAGTCTCCCGTCGGCCCGGCGAGGGCTTTGTGTGCGGCTCAGTCCAAGGGGACTTGCGGACGTGAAAGCATGAAAAGGCCTCCCACTTGGGAAAGTTTCAGTTGCGCCCGCGTCCCGCGCGCGCCCTCTTGCCTGGGGAGGGCTCCCAGCTAATGAGGATCTAATGAGGGATTGGGTGTCTCCTGTGCTGCCCCCTCCTCTCCTCCTCAGGGCTCAGGGCTTGGCACATCCAGCCCTCCCGGGGGCAGGAGAATCAGCTGCTGGGAAGATGGGCGGCCCAGGATGCGGGGAAGGCAGGAGGCAGCACCGATTCCTCCCTGGAGATGGGGGGATGGGAAGCGTCCAGAAGGCGGGGAGCTCTGAGCTGGGGGGGCAGGAAGGCTGGTGGGGGGCGCAGGTGAGGACACTGAGGGGCTCAGAGTGCCGTGTGCTTGGAGGTGGAGACCCGCTTGCGGAGTGCGGGTGAGCGCAGGGGAGCAGGCAGAGGGGAAGGTTTAAGGTGCGATGGGGTCAGAGATGGCCGGTGCCAGGCACAAGGTGGCCCTCCCTGCCCCCCCGCCCCCGCCAGTACAGCGCAGTCTGCGTGGCCAGTGATGGGGGGTCGAGGGCCCGGTGTGCAGTAGAAGGGAGAGACGTGGCCCCCGAGATAGGTGGGGAGGGGGTCCCAGGAGTGGCCAGGCAGCCACCCCTCCCCCGCGACAAGTGGGGGGCCGCCGACCGACACCCCCAGCACCTTCCCAGCATCCTCCTGTGTCTCCCTCCCTCCCCACCCAGCGGTTCAGGGCCCACCCGATTTCTCGGCTCTCACGGGGGAAGCTGGCCGCCATCCAGGGAACTACCCAGGTGAGCCCGGCCATGGGTGAAACCTGGCCAGTGGACATCTGCTGCTTCAGGGTGGTACTCCGGGGGGGCCGGGGAGCCTCTGCCCTATTCTTCATCCCACATTTCCCCAAAGATTGGCCGGGGCCGGATCACAAGGGCCACTGTAGTAAGCCGGCATGGTCCCCACGCCCCCAGCTGCCTGCTGCCCCGCCGGCTCCACATCTCAGCGGCTCCAGCCTTCGAGGGGCCCCGGGGACCAGAGTCGGACGTTCTCAGATGATCTCAGGTGGACACTGCGCAACCCAGCATTGTGACCACAGCTGTGCCCCACCTGAGTCCCGCCTGGTACCTGCCCAGCCTCTGTCCGGGACAGGGCACGGGACTCGGGGAGGCCCCCTGGGAGCACGTCAGCGCCTTTGCTTGCTGGCGTGTGTGAGGTGCCTGCTGGGCCAACCTCACGGGGGCAGCTGGCTCTTGCCCTGCTGCCCACCTGCCAAGGAGGCCCGCGGCCCCGAGCAGAGGGGAGGGTGGGAGGGCGGTGGGCAGCCCCCACATGCCAGGCCCGGCCTCGGCCTCCAGTGCTAAGGCCAGTCCTGACTCCTTCTCATGAAGAGTTACTTTGACCCGTTCCTTCTCTTGCCACACAGACTCCCAGGCCTCAAAAGGCTCCGTCCTGCAGAGACCTCTCCACCGGTCTTCTCAGAGGCGGGGCCAACAGCAGCGGCAGGCCCGGTGTGCTCGCCTGAGCTCCTCTGGCCTGTGAGGTTCTCCACGTCCAAGGCCCAGGGGCCCAGACCCTAGCCGGGGCTGGCCGCTCACTCCCTCACCCCAGGGCCCCTAGAGGGTGAAGTGGCCAGAGGGGCTCTGGGTCCCCCCAGCCCGCCCGTCCCAGATGCCCTCCAGCTGTGACCTGGAGGAGCCGGGGGTGGGGTGGGGTGGTGGTGGGGGTTCCCAGTGGCGTAGTCCTGGATTCAGACCCACCCAGCGGGGAGGGGACCTCCAAGCCGCTTCTCCGTCTCCGACTTTCGGGGGATGGGCCTTAGAGACCCCGTGCGGCTTGAGTCCAGACTGTGCCCCTTCGTCCCCGTCTGAGGGCGGCACGTGCGCGCTGGACTACGTCTGCAGGGATCTGAAGTCTCGCTCCTTTTAAAAGCTTCAGAAACGACAAATGAGGCCAACGCATCTCCTAGTATTTTTATTGTTCCTCAGATAACCAGATAGGACAAAGCTTCCCTCCGTTTTACTTAAAAAACGTCCTCTCCGCCTATGGTTGCCCTCAGGAGCACTTCCTTCCCGCTGGAAACGAAGCCCCGTCGATGGGCCCTTCTCATCCGAGGTTACATCATTCAGGTAACTTAACAGGAAGAGGATACCGCCTTTAGCTGTCATCCACACGAACGTGGTCGCCCCGCTAGGAGGGTGAACACTGACGTGTGTTTTTTTTTCTTCTTAGAAACAAAAACCATTCACTTATCAATCCAAACTACGGCATTGCATCTACAACATTCACGGCATGAACTAATCGTACAAGTCACCACCTGGAGGAAACGACAGACGGACGTGGTGCGATGGGCCTACGGGGCACTCGGAGTCACACGGCGGGGCGCACACCTGTCCGCCCCGCACACGCCGGCCACCGCTCGGCGGGACGAGACTCGGGGCCACGGCTACTTGGAGTCTCGGCACAGTTAATCTAAGACACAACACACGGTCGAGGGACAGCAGTGGTGGTGGGATGCGGGTGACACTAGCCTAGGGCGCCCCTCCGAGGCCGAGCGGGGCCGGGCGGGGGGTCTCAGGGAGACACGACACTATGTCCATCGAGCTGACCACGATCTACGGACAAGTCCATGCGAGCCTAACAGTGGGTTGTTCTCGGCGAGGATTGGCCAACAGTCATCGCCTTGCTTCTTTAGGACGTTCATTGACCAGGGCGGGGGACCAGGGAGCCCTGGACTGCAGTTCCAGCTGCAAATACGGGGACTTCCTCCCACGCCGGCTGCCCTCCGGCTGGGGCTGGAGACACACGGCGGCAACGCCACCCCGCGACGCCGGAGTCCACGTCGCTGATGATGTCTCAAAGTTAGCACTGTTCGTCTGGCTCGGACTGCTCCGGCAGCTGCGTCGCAGGCGTTTCCACGTGGGCGAGGACGCGGCCCCGTGGGACTACAGCTCGTCAGCCCGCACGACGTGGAAGAGGGTGACGTTGTAGAGGACCTGGTGGCCGTTGTTCCAGGCGTACAGGGCGCGGTCCTTGGGGTTGTAGTCCAGCATGGAGATGTGGGAGTACCTGTTCTGGAAGGGGATGTCGATGTACTCGTAGGTGGAGGCGTTGGTCTGGTAGGCGTAGTGCACCTTGGTGCCCCCCGAGTAGCCGTTGGTGACGTAGAGGGTCCCGCAGATGATGAAGGCCTCGCCGGCGCTGCGCTTGGGGTAGCTGGTGTTCCAGGTCTGCAGCACCTGCAGGGAGACGGGGTCCAGCTTGCTGACCACGATGTTGCCGGCGTTCTGGTTGGTGGCGTAGACGGCCCACAGCCCGTTCTCGTCCACCATGAGGTCGATGTCCGAGTGGCCGCCCCAGGCGTAGTGGTACATGTTGTTGTAGCCGGCGTAGTCCAGGCTGCGCGTCTTGAGGATGGTCTCCGTCTTCAGGTCGAACCTGATGACGATGTGACTCTGGAACTTGTTGAAGTAGATGGAGCCGTTGTAGACCACCTGCCCCGTGCCGGACCAGGGGTGCGGGAGGCGGTGGGACGTGAAGTTGTCTGTGGTCATGAAGTCCAGCATCGACTTGTACTCGCGGACAAAGCGGTTGTTGTGGTAGCCGTCCATGTACCAGACCTGCGGGGAGAGCGGAGCCGTCAGCGCTTCAGAGGGAGGGGCCCCGCCCGGGCAGGCGCTGGAAGGGCCAGGGGACACTGAGACTGAGCAGGGCCGTGTCCTCCTGCAAACCCGCCTTTCCTCAGGGGACGGGATTGTCTCCTCACCAGAGGAGGAAGCCTCCCATCTGGACAAAGGCTGGGTGGGGACACCGTGCCGACGGGAGTGGGAGCTGACAGCCCAGCACCCACTGGCCCACAGCCACCCCCACAGGCCCCCAAATAGAGCGTCTCTTTGGGGTGCCCCCAGGCTGTGGGTGAGCGGGCACGGCTGGTTGCTCACTGCTCTCCCTGGCGAGGGCACACAGCTGGTGTGCAAGGTATGTGGGGGGTGGGCACTCCACCAGCGGGTGACACCGCCGTCCAGCAGGATGCTGCTGCCAAGGGCACGGCTGCCTGCACCCGGATGAGGACAAGCGCCCAGCACCGGGCAGTCTGCATGCATGACCATTAGCAAGGCTGCCCGGAAGGGACAACGCCCCCACACCCAAGGGGGCGTGAGCGTCAGGCCTCCCCTGTCAGCCAGGCGGTCACAGTGGGCGGTCTGGCGGGCAGACCCTCATTAACTTGGCATTTGGGGAACCTTCGAGGGTAGCCCCTCCTTGTCACGCCCAGTCTGGGGGTGCCTCTCCCCAAGGAGCGTGGGTTCCAGAGGCTCTGATCGTCCAAACCAACCATGAGGCCCACGTCCGGGGCCACAGAGGAAGGGGCTCCGACAATCGCTTAGGTGCCGGCTGACTCGAAAGCTGTCTAGACCTTGTACAAAACGCTTTAGACACTTTCAACCAATGTGGGAGCAAATTAGAAGGCAGTGCAGCCAGTCAGAGGGAAGCCTGGGCTGAAGCCGCCCCGGCGCGTCTGCCGGGCAGTGAGACGGCCGCCTCCTCCGCCGGGGGCTCTGGCTGCAGCAGAGGTTAGGGCGTGGGGGCTTCCACACGCCGAGGTACATGTGCGGTAAAACGGAAAAAAATCCTGTAACCTTGTTCCCGAGACGCCGTTCAGACGCTCAGAGACAGATGTGCTTTTTGTGTTTTAACGCGATTTGTAAAAAAAACCGTCTCGTGAGGCTTTTACTGTCTTTAGCCTCCCTCAGACCAGCCCCAGCGATGGGGGTCACGGGGCAGAACGGGGCAGGTGCGGTGCTGGGGGTGTCGGGGGTGCGCGGTGCTGTGCGGGCCTCCCCGACATGCTCCACTTGGTCGCCTCCTGGACGGGGGCTCACTGCTTCTTTCAAGACCCAGCTCGCGTGGCACCCCCTCTGCATCCTGTCGGGAAGGAACGGTCTCGCCCGCAGCGGGAGGAATGTGTTCCCACGTCTGGCTCCCCACCAGTGGGCCTTCGATGGTGCAGACCCTGCTGGGGCTGCTGGGAAGCTGCTTAAAGGGAGCCCTCAGCCGACCGACCGGGCGAGAGGGGAGGTGGGGGGCAGTCCTCGCCAGAGACTTCACTGGGGAGTGAGGGTTGAAAAGGGGGCCCCAACACTGTCCCTGCTCGCACAGAGAAAAGACCGAAGGGGCACTCGTGTGCACCGAGCGGTGCGGACTCTGGGCTGCCCTCCGGCCACACCGCACGGCGTGCCTGCGGATTTCGGTAATTTAACCTTCCGGAGCGGGGATTCCGTAGGAAACGTATAAAATACCTGGGTGACTCTGACACTGTGTAAATGATCGGGAAGGACTTTAAAACACTCAGCTAAGCTCACTGTTGTCTGTGAAATGGTTGTGTTTCAGCGACGAGAGCGCCTCCTCCGAAGCACGGCTTCCTGGGGGCCAGAGGCTCCCTTTCTGACGCCGGACGTGTGACGTGAGTGGGCCTGGGACTTCCGCGGTGGAAGCAGGCCAGTGGGAGGCCCGGCGGACGCCGGACCCTGGAAGGGTCCATAGTCAGATCGGGGATCCCCCCGGGGGAGCGGCACAGCCTGGGGGCACGAGAGCCTGGCTTCTGGCGTCTGGGTGCCATCGGGACCACGTGGGCCTGCCACCGCTGAGGGATGGCCACTTCTGGGCAGGGTGGAGGACCCAGGAGCCCCGCACACTGCCCAGCACACAGCTGGTGCTCAATAAATGAGCTAACCTGGTTCTAACAGTTCAGCACAGAGGCAGGGGACCGAAAAGCCCCTTCGAGGACTCCCCCACTGGGGTCCCACAGCAACTCCCCCCCGCCCCGTTTGGCCACACCCCCGTTACCTCGCCTCCTGCCCCGTGGCTGCCTTCATGGAAGCCAATATCGATTCTTTCTTTTCTGAAGCCAATTATTGGTCTCCTGTGTGTGTGTGTGTGTGTGTGTGCGCGTGTGCGCGTGTGATCAAAATTGGATGGAAGCATGGAAAAGATCAAAACAAAACAAAACAGCGCTCTTCCAGATCGATGGCGGGGCCTGGGGACAGGCCCCTTAGCAGCTGTGAGGTGGAGGCCGCGGTGCTGCGCTCACAGCCTGGGACAGGGCTGCCAACTGCCCAAAGGCTCGGAGCCGGCCCGCAGGTCCCCGGCCAGCGAGCTGGGTCCCTCCCTCTCCCCATGCAGTTGGCTCCCACCAGGGAGGCCTCCCCCTCCCGCCTCCTACCACCAGGGCCCCCTTTCCTGGAGGGGGATCAAGTCATCGGGCAGAAGAGGGACAGGTGCTTTCCTAAGGCATCCATCACCGACCGCCTCGAAGGCCTCGCCCGCCTGCATCCTCACTGCCCAGGAGCCCTGCTGCTCGCTGTCTGAGAAAGCACAGTCGGACGGACGCTCACCGCAGCAGAGGAGGCTGACACGGAAGTGGGGACCGAGGGTGCACGGGCGGCGTGAGGCTGGGGTGAAACACTCCAGACCGGGGCTCGTCCTCGGCGGTACGCACCAAGGGCACAAATCCCGATGGGCCTGCTGTGTTTCTGGGGGATGTGTGTGGTGGGGAGAGGGCAGTGGGAGGGGACGGACTCAGCAGACTCAGCTCAGAATGGCTAATAAGACCATTGATCGGCCCTTCCGGAGAGCTCGGGCGAGTCACGTGACGCTGCTCGCCCTGGGTTTCCTCGTTAGCACAGCAGAGCCCGCTCCGACCCCCTGGATGGAGGGTGGCTGTGGGACCCAGGAGAGGCACGCGGCCCACTGAGGGCTGGGCGCACGCGAGCTGCCTCGCGGGCCCCGACGTGTTTCTTCCAGGATAAACACAGAACGTGCCCCACCAGGCCCACGGGACTGCGCCCAGGGCCTGCTGACATCGTCTGGCCATCACGCCTGTATTGCTGTCGTCACCACCCACAGCTGCGGCCAGAGCTCGCTGTAGGGGAACCCGGGCCAGACGTGGGGTTTTCCAGGTGGGACGCGGATGAAACCGAAGACCAGCCGGGGTAATAATTGGCCAATTAAACTGTTAATTGGTAGTTAATGCGTAATTAATCGGCCAATTGAATTGTTAGAAAACTTCCAAGCACCAGCTAGCTGTCACGATTCAGAAAACAAAACAAGCACAAATTTCACCCCGAAATACCCCAGCCCGGTTGTCTCTGGGGTTTGCCGCCCGTCGCCAGCGGCTCCCGGTCTCTGCTGGCAAACGCGGGCCGAGCTCTGAGAGGAGGCTGGGGGCCTGCTAGGGGTGGTGGGAGCTGGGGCCTCTTCCCCCGGAGTTGTCTGATAAAGAGCCTCACAGAAAGCCCGACATCGTCCCCGGGAGGAGAGGGTGTCCCAGAGGGTGGTGCCACCCCCGTTCTAACTAGAAGCCACCACTTCCTTCTAAAGGATGCGGGTGGGGCAGGGGGAGGCACCGAGATCAGAAAACTCAAGATCCATTCCCGTAAGAATTCTCCAGACGAGGCTCAGAGGCGCTCGAACTGCTAAGCGGCTTTTCCCACCCGCCCGGGGGAGCAGCTGTGTTTTTTTAAGGGTTTATTAAGCGGCTGGCTAGGAAAGGCCCCGGACTGCTGACAGTCCCCGTGGGGGCCGGCGGCCAGGCTGTGGACCAGCGAGGGCGCGAAGCCCCAAGCTCCTGTCCTCCGAGAACCAGAGCCCTGGGCGTGCAGAGCCGCCCTCCGGCGAAATGCTCCCAAAGGATGCTGCGGTGACGGGTGTGGTCCCCGCCCGGCGGCCGAGCGCCACCCAGCCAGCCAGCCAGCCTGCCCGCTGCCCCGCACACCCACAAGGGACGCCAGCAACAGAGCCAGGCCCCCCAACTCCGATCAAGGCAGACGTGCCTCTGGGCTCCTTTTTTTCTGAGTTTTACCCGGGGGAAACGTCTGCGAAAAAAAGAACGGGGCTTTCTTCCTAAATCAAAAAAGAACACGAGTTTCCATCAGCCATGAAAGGAAAGGCAAACGAAACACAAATGAGAAGTCATTAAGACGAGGTGCGGGGGCAGGGCTGCGCGCTGGGGAGGTTTCAGCCCAGCGGCAGCCTCTGGGTGACCGGGACAGAGCCGCACCTGGGGAGGGGCGCCCCAAGCTCCCCCCATCCGTCGCTGCCACCGTCGTCCTCGCGTGGAACCCGCTGCCCCGCCTGCCGTCTGTGACTTGGGTTCGGGCAGGGACCTCAGCAAGGGACCTGGGACAGACCTCTGGGGGCACCAAGCTTCGCTCGTCTGCAGCCTCCCCAGCTCGACCCAGACGATCCCACACCAGGCCCGGCAAAGGGGCACTTACCCTGTTATCGCCTTCTGGGGCCAGGGGGTCCGTCATCCAGGACCCGAACCTCGAGCCGGAGGTCTTGACGGTCACCGGGTCACTTATGCCAGTCAGCTTGCCACAGGCTGGAAGACAGGGCACAGCCCAGGGCAGTGAGCGCCCTGGTCCAACCCAGCGCCTGCCTTGCTCTTCCCGAGACACCCCCAGCCCCAAGCAGAGAGCAAGGGGCCAGGCAGCAGCGCGAGGGAAGGGCCTCCCGGGCCTGGGGGCGGGGGGGCCGGAGCTGCACCTCCGGGGAAGGGGGCAGTCAGCCTCCCCAAGACTCAGTTTCCTCCTCTGGGAAGTGGGGGCAGCGGCAGCTGGACCTCCTAAAGCTGCTGGGTGAGAGAGGCCACCCTGGACACAAGGCGTGTGAGGCTGGACTCGTCTCAAGCAGCGACTCCGGGACTGGCGCCCTCCACGGCGCGGGGCTCAGCGCCCTGTGCCCCTCCAGCAGCTAGAGCCAGGCTGGGAGGAAGGCCGCCTTCCCACGCGAGGCCCTGTGAGCTTCCCCGCAGGGTGAGGACCCCCTTCTGCCCG